TTAAGTTTGGTTTGATTATCTTTGAACAAATTTCAAATGAGTAACTAGAAGTGGTTTTTGAAGAAGCGTTAAAATTAAACTGTCTTTTTATCAAATAAAAGTCCGAGTACAATTTATTATTATTATTATTATTATTATTTTATAGAATGGAACACAATTGTGATATAAAATATAGGCCTCACGTATAGATCCTACTTATGCGGGTCTCATAATTTTATCTCATACCCTATGTCTTATTATTTAAAAAAATTCTGTATTCCTATAGTGTTCTGTAAATGATTGAAAAATGTTAAACCCAGTTCATCCACATATGTAAATATGAAGTTTGAATTGCTGGATGTCCTCCATCTTTGATAACCAATCATCATCAAAAAATTCTAAGCAGTCATAGCATATACTATTTCATCATCAAAATGACTTCTCTAGTGAATCACATTCTGCTAAGGGATAAACAATCTGCTTTTTTTTTTTTTTCCAAGGATCTTGATCTTATCTGCAGTTTCATGTCCAATTTATCCTTAATTTCAGTGCATGCACACTTGCACATTAAACCAACTACAAAAAAAAAATACTCAAAAACAAAAAATTATTCAAAAAACTCGTGTGGTCCTGAAATACCAACACTAAATTAAATTATAATCACATGGATTCACATTTCGAATAACGATTTAACATACCCTAACTGCATTCCTTACTATCTGCCTGCATAAACGTCTGTGTTGCAGTAAGCAATTATAGAATCAGCAAATCGCCAAAAAGCATATTTTTCTATTATTATTATTGAACAATTTGTGGTTATCAACCAAGAAACATTACACTAATATCATGCCATCAGCAAATTGAATATACAACTTGTGAAAATTTACAACTTCCGAGTTATAGGAAATAAATGGAAATAAACTTGTCCATATTTCATTCTTCATCACAGCAATGAAAAGGGGCAATACGCAATAAACTGCCGTAAAAAATAATTCAAACCACATAAAAAAACCTATCCGCAAATGACATAAAAATGCATACATCTGACAATCCGAAAATCATATATGTGAATAGAAACTACTCGACCTCTGTTCATCCTAACTTTTACATGGAAATTACATTATGCATTGACTATCCTCCATGACAATCTGGTTGCTACACAAATAAGATCACAAACTCCCAAATTTCCAAGTCTGTATAAAGTCTTAAGTGACCATGGCATTGGCTTCATCTTCATCCGCCTCTCCTGGTGGCACTTCATTGAACATGTACTGGCACTGATATTCCATCAAGCATTGTGTTGATCTCTTCACATCCCAAAACAGTTCATAAACTCGACTTATATCCTCCATTTCCACAAGCTTTCCCTTCCGCTTGTGGCAAGCTAATGCGGCAGATGTAATTAGGTTGATGGCATATCTCAAAGACGTATCTACCCCAATCTTTGTCAATAACACTTTCGCATCTTCGGACATCTCCACATCTTCCCCTTGGGATCTGATGTCTAGAATTTTCTGAATTTCTTCTTCTGTGTAGGGCTGTGTGGAGGTGATGAGTAGGCGATCAGGGAAATCAATTGGAATCCCATGGGGAGACTTGTAATTTGTGCCTCGGATTGTAGTGTGATCCCTCTGTTGGTGGCAACAACCAATATCGGTGCCATATCATTTTCTAAAGCACGGTTTAGGAAAGAGAAACACTCGATGTCAAGCATGTGGACTTCATCAATGAAGAGGACACCAGGCACTATCTCTGCCTTTCCTTCCTCCCTCCACTGTGCAACCTTTGTGTCAATTTGTTCGCTCACTTCAGCGCGAATTTCTCTAGTATCACCGGTGAAGAGAGCCAGAAATCCCTGTCCTGAAATTAAAAGATGATTGTGAGAGGACAAAAAAAAGAAAGCTAAAAATCAGGGGAAATATATCTACATGTGATGTTCCCACAAGTATAAAGCAATGATTTTACATTTTTATTTTGAGCAAGGGAAGAGAATCAGTGCAGGATAATTCATGGAATCTGTTCAGAAGAAAAAGAAAAGAAAATAAAAGTAGCGTTTCCTACCAGGTACCATGGATCGGTGTGGAAGAGGTATTCCTGAACATTTTCAGAAGTTCTTCAAATTGTATAAGGTTTTCAAAGCATAAAATAGTTGGTTATAGGATTATTGCGCAATTTTATTTTTTTTAAAAATTGTTAAACCAAATACTTCTGGTGTTACTTAACACCAGTTCCCTTACTTCATTCAACCTTGATTCCAAGAATATTAGTATGTCAAGTATCCAGGATTGTTATTCTCCCAATTTAAGCATCTTGTTCCAAATATGCCCAACCACACACTTAGGTCTCCTATAAGGTCATCATGTCATGCTTCTTTGAGCTCTTCCTTAATCAAATAAATTTTGGCACAATTTTTTTACCTATGTCATAGGGACTCCTTAAAATGTATTACGTATCTATGTTGGACACTCTACACTTAGATAACGAATTCACCTAACATATTCAATACTTCGACTTAACCATAAATATATGCATATTATGCAATAAATGATCAATAACACAATGTGAATACCATTTTATCCTAAAAAGTAAAAATATATATATATATATATTAAGAAATATGAATATTCTAGAGTGTTCCCACGTCCTAAGACATGAGAATTAGATAAATCAGAGACATAATTGAAGCCAACATCCTACCCAAGTACATGTAACATAGTGTTGGTATGAACCAAAACTTTGTAGGGGCCCATATGTGCACCTCAGCCTCTTCGGTGTACCTCCAAACTAATTAGCATCGGATGCTTCGGTCAAAGCCTACTAATCTAGGTTGCACATGTAAACAAGAACATAGAGAACAGAAATCTCCAGCAGCATCTCTATGGCCCTGTTTGGTAGAGCTGTGGGAAAGTGCTTATAACTTATGCCTAAACAGCTTATAGCTTGTAACTATGAACATAAGCTGATTTTTGACTTATAAATTAAGCATCTCCTGCCCCACTCAAAGAATAAACTGATTTCTAACTTCCAAAAAGGTATAAGCTATAAGCTATAAGCTAAACCAAACACATCAAAATAGCTTAAATTAAGCTGAAAGCTGAAATAAGCAGCTTTTAAGCTGCACCAAACAGGCACTATATATGCTAGTGCACATAGACATTTTAAAACAAAGACCCTACATAATACATGGATTAGATATATATTTGTGGCTTGACTTTTCGTACTCCTTTCGGAAGACGAATAGCCTCACAGTTCGGACTCTCGTGGTTCTGAATCTGATTTTACAAGTGCAATGTGAAACAGTGAAAACACAAAAAAAGCCTAAATCTAACAATTCTTTTGAAAAATCGATATTTGAATCAAATGCCAAAAATGAACTGCTTTGCTAGATTTCAGAATCGCCACCTAACCCAAGACTCGTGCCAAAAGCCATTAGTCTGTCATCACTAAATTGTCTCGGCTCGGGAACTTAGGTACAAGAGGGGAAGATCATGAATTGAGCACCTCACTCGCTCGATCAAAGATCGGTCTCTATTAATCATGATGTTATTTTTATTTACATTATATGCTCTTGTTCCGATTATTAGCTATTTTTACTATGTGACGCACACACAAATATAGACTAATTTGCAAGAATTAGAACATTTGATTTCGTGTTTTATTTGAAATCGTTTCGTGAATTTGCCATTTAAAAAAATGGGCTTAAAATGGACATTTAATCAAACTATCCCAATTCAAGAAACTAGCCTTCATCCACAAGCATTCAAAAAATTATATCAATTAAACACTTAGCTTTATGGAAGTATGCTTTGATATGGTAACACAAACATTTAATGCAAGATGCTAAAACATAAAATTACTCACCTAGTACTCCGAGCCAAAACAAAGCAAAATAATTAAAAAAAATATGCATGCTCCTAATTAATGCAATATGGCTAATGCTATGCACATATTTTGTATTTTATAGGCTCGGCTATGAGTATGGCATATGATTTTATTCAAAAAATGCGATAAAGCACATATTTAAGTAATGAATTTGAACATTGATATTGGGTTAGTATGATGAGCAAAGCCTTGGATACATGTAAGGCAATGTATGCAAAGCATAAGAATGCTAATTTGAAAAAAAAAAAAAATGATGCTCTACACTAACCATCGTAAGCGAGTAAGTAAAAGGGAGAAAGACATGGGGTTGGAAGACATACAACTTATAATATAATTGTCCTCATGCAAGAGGGTGCGAATCAAAGTCCGAAAGTCCGAATTAAATAAATTATTACAAAACCAAATAAATAAATAAGTAAAGAATTAACTAGCTAACTACTCTATTATAATAAGGATAATCATGAGAATTAAACTAACTATTTAAGCTAACTAGCTATAACAATTACAAATAAACAATAATAATAATTACAACACTAATAATTAACAAGACTAATTATAACAATAATAAATTAATTAATTACAACAATACACGGAGCATTAATTAACAATAATGATGTAAGCAAGGATGCACAAGGGTTGCATGCACAATGTCCAAGAACAGCTCTGTCTGCCTAGGCCTGCTCTGTTTCAACTACAATCACTGCCCTCTGTTTTCTGCAAAACATACTGCTGACCAAACATTGATGGTCGGCTGTGCCTTAATTTCATGCAAAATCCTGTTTTGTGCTCTGAAATGAAAATAGTGCAGATAGAGTTATTCTAGACTCTGTTTGTCCCTCTCACACTCCTATGTCATGGGAAAACCTCGAGAGAAGGTTGGAATCATTTCCAAAACCATCAATGAGCAAGTTGATTGCTTGATGATTTCCGATATAATTTCGACAAAAATCAATAGATGCAATGAACAACTACGTCTCCCTTCTATCATAGAGTGAACTCAAAGAGGGAGGTAGAAACGCTTCAAGATTCATCAAAACATCATGAATTGATGTAAGACAACCTTTGACACAATGGATTCGGCATAACGTTCAGCCGAATCCAAACAATATGACTCATTTTCTTTATGTGGGTTAGTTTATTTTAACAATTTTTAGACATTTCCATTCTTTAGTCCATTTGTCCAAGATAATGGTTATGTCCTCTAAAGATTACGTCCACTAAATGAGAAGCATGCCAAACGAGAAGTGATTCTCAACATGAAAAAGAGACTATGCCGTTGGCGATGAACCTCCGTAGAGATTAAGCCATTAAGCATAGATCTCTAGCTCATATTTTGAACAACCATCAACCGGTTGAAACAACTCTCAAATGAAAGAAATGAATAGCAAGTTGATTTAATAAAATGAGGTTCTTAAACATGGAAGTTAGTTAAAGAAAAGCTAAGGACAATATACAACAAGCTATGTATACAAACTTATGAGATAACAATCAAGCTAATCAAAGCATGAACTGTTTAAACAACCTAGAACAACCCTAAAACAGCCTTCAAGAGATGAAAAACAGTGGCTCAAAGTGCATGAAAAGAGCCTAAAAAACTAATCAACAAAGAGAGAAAACAAGGTTAGTAAACAAGAACAAGGAGGGGTGACTAACCCCTCCACTTTTGAGACTTCAAAGCATGATTTTTAACCTCTTTTTAACTCTGAAAATTAATTTAGAAAGCAAAGAAAAAGTGTAAAAGTAAGGGTTTGAGCTATAAGTAAAGGTGTAAGAAATAGTGTAAACTCTCTCTACCCTTTTGATAGCTCTTCAAATCCAAACTTAAACACTTGGAAGATCATCAAAACAACACAAAACTACAAGAACTAGATAGCAATAGATAGAACAAGAAGTAAAAGAGAGCATGACAACTTTATACCTCTCAACGAAGTGAGCTTTTGTTTATGAATCAAACTAAGTCTCAACACACTCTCAAACTTGAATTATGGTGTTCAAGGCTCAACCAAAGTTCCTAGGCTAAGGTGTGAAGGTGTATATGGTGTATGGATATAGAGTCAAGGTGATAGGCTTGCTCAAAGGGTTGCTTGCACAAGAAGAAGGAGAAGAAGGAGCTCTCAAGAAGGTGTAGAGGCTTTTTTGAAAATTTTCAACCCTCAAAACAGAGATATATGGACGTTTTTATAGAATTTGAGCAAGAGGAGTCATAAATATCTTCAAAATGGATAGCTAGCAGGCTCCTACCCAGAACAGTGTTTCTCGCTACTAAGGCACGGTCGGCCTTCAATAACCACGGCCAACCCTCAATGAGGCACGGCCGGGCCACAATGTGTTCCCCTGTTTTCCTGCTTCAGACTTGGCACAGGGTAGTACAATGTGTAAAAATGGATTTCTAGGGTATAATCAGTGAGAATATGAAAGGTTTGGTATTGTTTCGAAGCTTAAACATGGCCCCTTTGTTCAGACCTCGAACCACGCACAACACCACTTTCATCATCGAGTGTACCGGGCAAAGCGCTCGAGCCTTGCAGGCGCGGGATCAAGTCTTGCGTGGCAAGACCATCCCTTTGGTTAAGGTTTTGTGGAAACATCACGGAGTGGAGGAAGCCACTTGGGAACGTGAGTTGGAGGTCCGCGAGAAATATCCGGGCTTGTTTATTGATAAGTAATCTTGTATTTAAATTTTGTAATGTTACTAGACTTAAGAGCTTTATATATGTCTTAAGTTGTAAAACATTGGTAATGTTTTGGTATTAATGGAAGTACGTTGTAGAACTTACCTTGATATGGGAAGTTGATTATGATATTGCATATGTTGGCTATATTGCAGAATTGGAATTATATCATGTATATTGATTATGATATGAACTGTAAACCATGTGTGTTGGAAATGGTTGGAAATGGAAGAAAATTGCATGTTAATAATGCACTTGTAATATATGTTATGAAATGCCTCTTGAAAAGAGATGGGGTTGACCAGTAATGGGTCGGGTTGTTTAATATTATGTTGCAATATTGTTGAAAATGGAGAAAACCTGTTTTTGAAAAACCTGTGTTTAATTTCGGGGACGAAATTCTTTAAGGGGGGGAGGTTATAGCGATCCCGGTTGTCCCTTTACTGTTCTGTTGTATTCCGGACTCGGTTCCGTGAAGTTGGTAGTGGTATCTATCTTGTTGCCGTCCTTTAATTCC